GTTGTTGATAAAGACATAAAAACTAACTAATAGACTCTTCAGGTAAAAGTTACCTGTTTCTACAGGTGTTTCAGGGCAACTTTAATTTTCGGGATCCAGTAAGGAACAATTTCATCCCTCCCATTGTGGCCAGATATGTGCGGGTTGTCCCCAAGAAGTGGCACCAAAGGATAGCCTTAAAAGTGGAGCTCATCGGTTGCCAGGTTACACAAGGTAGGATTCAGGGCGAGTCAGTGAGCCATTCGATTCTGGTCATCTCCTTTGACAAATTGTTGCTCCTAATGTCGTTTTTCCAACATCTCTCTCAGGTAATGATTCATTGGTGTGGCGCAAAACAAGTCCAAATTCGGTTGGTTCAACTAAAAGAGAAGATGAGGCAATCACAAAAGTCATCCCCTCTGAAGAAATGCCCGCAAGTAGAGCAGTTATTTTTTTGTGGTTTCCTCAGAAGTATAACTGATACTCCATCTGATATTATAATAGCTTCCACAAAATTTTTCTGTATCATATAAATGTCTGGAAGCAGATGGTTCAGCATTATTTGCCCATGTGTAAAGGGATGTATGTTCATAGCTATTCATTACAATGTTGTAAGTAGAAAAGGTAGCATGTGCCCTTCAAACACAATAAATATTTTATGGAAAAATAAGAGCACATCCATGCAATAGAATACTCAGCAGCCATGAAAAACAATGTGTTAGTAATAGAAAGCTCTCAGAGATAAATTGACAACTTATATAAATAAGCAAGGTTGTGTGTGTAAAAAAAAGGAAAGCAAAAAATGAATACCTATATACATACATACATATATGTATGTATATACATATATTTATTCATTTCAGTATTTCTGGAAAAATGTCAGGAAACATAATTTGGCTTCTTGTGAAGGAAAAACAGAAGTAAAAGATATACATTACATTCCATACCTTTATATACTTTTAGAATTCTGAACTTGCGTGCGTTTGATCTATTCAACGAATGAACATTAAAAGTACATTTATTTTTCATAATATAAAATAATTTGCATATTAATTATATAAAACGTGGAAAGATAGAAATAAAAGAAAATAAAAATCAGCACCCATAGATAAATACCAAGTTCCACTGTATCCAGTCAATTATATTTATACTCATAACTTTGAGACAAAATGGTAACATACCATATAGTCTGTTCTATAGCATATATTTTTCAATTAATATTGTATTATAACCATTTTTTCAATGTTATTAAGTAGTTGAAAAACCCACTTACTAATATCTTTTTTTTTTAGGCTGAGTCATCCTGCCACCTGTTGGCAGCTCAGAGGCAGCTCAGCTCGGGCCGGGCATCGAACCGTTGTTGCTCAGAGCTCGCACTCTTGAGCGAGCTCTTAACCAACTGAGCCACTC